ATAGCTTAGAGTTGATAATCAAAAGCCAGTCACCTGATATGTTACTATTCATGCAGAAAACCTTTTTAAGGAATTAATGTGGCTAACACAAATTAAGAGAGACAGGTCTTGAGATTTTAACAAAAACTATTATCAGGTCCAGCTCCAATTAAAGAATCAAATTCCATACTCTGTTAACATTAATACTGTTTCACTGATGTGATTAGAAGGTAATATAAAAGATCTTCCTATACGTTGGGTCAAATGATAGCTCTGTATTCTCAGTACTGTAGGTATCAAAATCAGTATCAGTCAGAACTTTACCAAATAAACATCCAGCAGAAGATATATATTAAGAGATTTATTTCAAGGAATTGGCTTATATGATCGTGGCATCTGTCTGGATAAGTACAAAGTCTGAGGGGCAGGTCTGCAGACTGGAAACCTCTGGGTGGGGGCTAATGCTACAATCCACAGGTGGAATTTCTTCAAGGGAACTTCAGTTTTGCTTGTAAAGCCTTTCAGTTGATGAATGAGGTCTACTCAAATTTGGAAGGGTCATCTCCTTTACTTAAAGTCAACTGCTTGTAGATGTTAACCACACCTACAAAATGCCTTAACAGCAACACCTAGATTAGTGTTTGAATAGCAGGAGACTGTAGCCTAGCTAAATTGCCACACAAAACTAACCATCACAGACACAGTAGATTGAGAAAAAAGTTTGAAGAAAATTTAGGAATATATAATGGAAATGTTGAGAAAGCTTATATACCGCAAATTAACTTCTAGAAATTTTCCTAAGAAAATACATTGATGTGTGTATCAAGATGCATGAAACAGTCATTTATTTTAGTTTTACAGAAAAGAGTGAAAATACAAAGATTCCCAAATACCAATGATTGAACATTTTAGAAATAAAGTACAAACATATGAACTATTACTATACATTCAGGGAAGTTAATAGTTTGGAATAACATTAACATACATAAATGTCTTATGTTATTAAATTAACAAAGAAGGCAAACTCCAAAAGAGTTTATATGTTACATTCCCAACTTCAGGGAAAATTCTGTAATGAAATGACAGTTTTAAATTACAATACAGTTATAATGGTTCCTTCTGATAAATGCGGGTTATTGTGCCTTTTTCCTCTGATATTTTCAGCATTTTATGAAATATCTTCTAATAAATAAAGTACATGCTATCTTCAAAAGAAAAATGCTGTCATTCGTTAAGCATCTCTTTTATTTCAGATAGTGTCTTGTAAAACTGCTCATTATTCAACACATACTGTAGTGTTTGCCACATACAAGGCCCTGTTGTACGTATGAGGATACAGGAGTAACATAACAAAGGCCTCTGTCTCCTCATACTGTTGACATTGTAGTGCAGGAGCTATAATCTCCATACAGAATAGCATGTTCCACATGCTTAAAGTAGTGAAGCTTAAAGATCTGGTATTGAACTGAACTCTCATTCTCAACTATAGACAGACAAAGCCCTTAAAACTCCACTTTATTCATTTCGCTTGTAGCCTTCACCATCTCTCAAAATCTCACACTGTAATATCTCTTATTCTTCACTCTTCCTCTCATAATCATAATCACATAATCACACAGAGGTCAGTTCTGGAATATTTCTACTCTGTATTTGTGTGTGGTCTGTATTGCACAACTTAGAACCATTGTGTATTGAATTAATATGTATTTTATATCACACTTTTTCATTATTCTCTAGTCAGATCCATAAGAGTAAACACCACTGTTGAATATGGACTAAATACAGATCTTTAAAGGAAGAAAAAAAAATGTTCTTCTCATTTGGATAAAATATTCTAATTTGTAATATAAATATGTAAATACATATGCATATGTATTTTAGATACATATATGCAGGTGTGTATGCACACCTGTATGTACATGTGTATATGTATACAGGCATGTGTATTCCTTTAAATTTTAGAATTTAGAATGTAGAATAACTTATTGTATTGTCTTGATTAAAAATGTCATGGACAACATTTGGAATAAAAAATAGATTCTTAATGATAAACATGCTGAAGTGTCAAAAAATCTTTTAAGAAGAGTTCGAACAGAGAATACTTGGTATACCAAATATTAAAATAAATTGTCCCACTAGAGTAATTAAAGAAATATACTCAGAATCAAGTACACTGAAGAGCTATAAAATACGAAATGAAGAAATACTATATACATGAACTATTATTGTGAATATTAGTGACCTTCAAATCCATGTATAAACATAAAATATAGGCAAATATTTATTTCTTTGTTGGGAAGGATTTTCATTCAGAGAATATGTTGAAAATACTAATAGATCTTATATGAGTAGAAATATAAAACTAAACATTTACTTCTGGGAACATTTCCTAAGATTAAATAAGAGTGATATGACCTCATAAATTAGTATCAAGTACGCATTTATCACTTTAAAATCTTAGAAACTAAATATCCAACAATATGTTATGTAGTCACATAAGAGAAATTATGCACATCAGAAAATTTTAATTTAGATGTATAATTATTGACCTATATTTTATTGATATAATTCTAAAAACATAAAATTAAATATGATTACCCTGTTGATTATTTTTAAAAACAAAATTTAACAGTAAATTTCAAAGATCTTAGTGGCTTTATTCAGTGATTCATGAATATGTATGTATTGTATATATATTATCTTTTCAGTTATTATAGCTATAATCAACAGCCAAATAAATATGTTTGATGGCTTAATGGGTTTCCTTTGCTTCATGAAATATGGGAAATTTGTTCATTAACAAAGTCTTAGTGAATAATTGCTAATACTATTTCAATATCACAAAACAGTATGAAATACTTTTCCAAACATTAAAATTTAAAGATTGATTGGAGAAAAGTAGTTGTGCTTTTTATTTTTATCTTTTAATGAATAACTTCCTAGAAGCTGTATCCTCCCTAAGATATTTTTAACAAGCTTAATTGTAAGAAGTAATTAACCCAGAAAGCTTCTAGTTTGCTTCTAAATACAGCATCCAAGAATATCAAATGGGTTCTAAAAATGTTCAGTACATTTTTTCCCATGTTCTTAATATACAGACCAGCATGATCTTTTCAAAAACTTTTCAGAACTTTATTATAGCATTAATATTGGCTGCCATGTTATACATGGTTTTAGTTTTATTAACTTTTTATCATGATATAGATAAAAGGAGGATGCAAAAAAACTCCAAATATTTTTTAAGAAAAAATGTATATGCATTATAGATATCATTTATTTCATTGCTCCTATTCTTTATTCACTACAAAAATGTGTAAATGTGTGTGTGTGTGTGTATTCACATATACAGAACACATTTTCTGGGGTCATGAGAACATTTCTAAAATTGACCATATGCTGGGCTATGCAGGCTAAGTGAATAAATTTCAAGAATCAGAAGCAAACAGAATATTCTTTGAATAAGCTTGATTTGAGCTTTTATAGTATTTTATAATATAAAAGATAACCAGGAAGTCCCTGTACAGTTCTGAATAATCTTGGGCGAAACAAACAAAAAAATCACAAAAGAAATTAGAAAATATTTTGAATAGATGATGAGGAAGAACTTTTTGTGCATAGCTAAATTTATTCTTAGAAGTTTACAATCTTGAGAGCTTATGTTAGATTAAACAGCCTAGAAGCAGGAGAGTAAATTAAGCCCAAAGAAAGTGAAAAGACGAAAATCATAAAAATAAGAACAGAAGCTAATGGAGTAGAAAATAAACATAGGATGGCAACTATCAACAATGCCAAAAGTGTGTTCTTTGAAATTGGCTACTCCCTACCAAGATTAATCTACAAAACAAATAAAATGAGAAAAAGCACACATAGCCAATATTATAAGAAAGAGAGACATTGTTAGAGTCTCAACACCAATTACATCTTTACTGGCAATAATGTTAGGCATAAATATATTTTATGCCAGTATTTTGGATAAATAAAAGTATTTTATGCCAGTAATTTTGAAAATTCAGGTTAAATGAAAATGTTTCTAAAAAAACACAACTTAGTAAAATAGATGTGATAATACATATATATCTGCATTGATTAAATACATTAAATCCATCCTTAGTAACTTCCTCAAAGAAAACTCCCAAGTCCAGGGGGCTGTACTAGTGAATTCTACAAATATTGAAAAGTAGAGATAACGTCAATATTTTATTAACTTTCTGAAATAATAAAAGGACAGCATCATCTTGATACCAAAATTTAATAAGAGTAATACCAAGACAGGAGGGCTGAGGCCAATCACTCTGTTTAACATATATATTCCTTAATATATAGAAGAGTGAATCCTGTGTTATGTAAAATCGACATACATTACGGCCAAGTAAATTTATTTCAGGAATGCATTCAAACATTAAAAAAAACAGCATAATTCATCACAATAAAGAGAAAAAAATTTTTTTTGATAATCTCAATTCAAAAAGATAAACAAAGTAAGAGGAATTATACTTCAAATATCTGGACTTAATAAAAAGTATCAGTATTTCAGACTGTGATATTGGTACAGGGGTAGAAGTATAGACCAATAAAATAGAGTGCCTGGGAACATACTCACACACAAACACTCACTCCTATAGTCAAAGGTATGTTGTACACTGGATAACCATATTTAAACCTGATTCTTTTCAATATTTTTCACACAGAAAATTAGACAATGTAAAAAACTGAAGTAGAATATTATGCTCTTAATGTCATTTTAGTCACTGATGGGAATGTTCCATTTATTATCAGAATTTATTTCATTAAGTGATTGCCACAATTTGTTGTTTTGTCAAAATTTAACGTTGTATTTATGTACTTAAAACATTAAGGGTTTCTAATTTAGAACAGATTAATCTACTGATAACTTTGTTGGCTTTATGGTGAGATAATCTGTTTACTTAAATGTTTCTTCTTTTCTTAATAGCTTAATTAATTGGTCAAATGTTTATACAACACATGCTAAAACCATAAATTTTTTCCCTAAACGGTTGCAGGCAAGAATTTGATCCATGTAGAGCTGAACTGACTATTTTAGGAAGGACTATGAAAACAAGTGAATCTATCAATCACATATCTGGAAAACCCTTGCCAGAATCAGGATCTGTCTTTATTGGTGGTTTTCCATATCTTCGTGGAACAAACCAGGTATTTCTATTGATATCTTAAAATATATTTATTATGTCATTGTATGAAAAACAGATTGGAAAATTTTAGAAAAGTTTCCTAGTTGATGGAGCTGTCTTCATGGTTTTGAAAAGAGAGCATGAACAATTCTACTAAGATATCCTACTGAAGCATACTAAAAGTTTACTGTTCTCATTGTACAGAATTGCTTTGGTTGTCAGGCTGCTTTCCCATCTTATGGCTATACATGTGCATTATACTTAATGATAATTTTAAACATATGGGCTTTTGTTCACTCCTATGCTAGTGATTTCCTTGGATATATGAGTGGGTCGGCTCAAGAACACACCACAAATCTGATTCAGGAAATGGATCTGGAAGACCATTCCCAGTCTCCACTTCATATTGGGTTTTTAAAATGTAAAAATGTTCTCTGCAGAGGTTGTGCATATGCCAACCCGTACTCTAAATTTTCATTTAGATAATTAGCTTATTGTCTTCATTATTAACCTATATTTTTGGATAAGAGCTTTCATGCTGACTTAAATGTTATTGATCATTGGCTCCATTTTACGTTATTATGGAGAATTACTTTCACAATTTAGGGTTGCTTGTTAAGTGTACCAATAGCTTATTACATCTTTTCTCTTACTGTATTTACAATTGTGCTTTACTTATGTGAACATACTATTTTAAAATACCGGAGATCTAAAATGCTATTATTTTGAAGCCCCACAAGTAATATAAATTGGGTATAAATCTACTATTGGTAAGCTAAAAAAATTCAAAGCAAATTTACATAAAGAACAAAAGTCACTTGCATAGTTGATGTGATGCATATGCCTTCAGTGAAATAAGGGAATTCTTTATCTGTAAGCATGCAGACGTTATTTTAAATTCAGCTTTACTCCATTAGACTTTTTGTGACTTTTTCTATAGTAATGCACTTCACTGACTTTTTCCTAGATACAACAAGACTATAAGCTCTATAAGAGTAACACATTTCTGTTTTGTTTACCTTTTTATACCTCAAGGCAAGGACAGTTTCTGTCACATAGTAGGTGTCCATAAAACATCTTGTAAATGTATGATCAATTAAAGAATGGATGATAGGATTACAAAAAACTTACATAAATGAATCTTTAGTCATATATATATATATATATATACACACATATATATATTTATGTATATATACATCCCAAGTAAAAGATGAGTTCTCATATAGAATTTAATATTTGTGGGCACAGATTAATTAACTGCAAGTTCTCAAGACTCAAGGAGCTATTACTCTGTTGAGGATACAGGAGCAGTATAGAAAAATAGAAAAGAAAACCTCCTAGTCTCCCTAGGGGAATAAGGGGGTTTGTAGTTAGGCATAGATGTGAGGGATGATCAAGTGCCTACCAGGTAAGTAATATGTAGGCTGTCATTCCAGGCAGACAAAATGTCACACACTCAGGCTTAGGTAATGGAAAGACCTAGGAGAGGGGGAGTGGGAGTGGAAATAACTCACTAATTGTGGAGGCATGGAGTTTGATGTGAAATGAGCAGAAGGAAGACTTGATGTTGGAAAAGGCAGGAGTCTGAGCATCAGGGATCCTGTATAAAATGTAAAATATTATCTGTTTTTATACTGGTGCCTGTAGGAGCTATTTAAGAAGTTTGAACAAGTAGTGATCTTTAATAGTTTTTACTCTGAAGCACCTAAAGTATAGGATTGGAGGTATTTAGACTACAGATCAAGAATTGATAAAGTTAGGTAATAGCAACAATTAAACAAGAAATGGTGTTGTGACAGTAAGGGTGAGAGGATGACTATGAAAGCTATCGAGCTCATAATAATTATAGGAAAAAAATGGAAAAAGTGGAATTTGAATTACCAGTTTGTCTTATGTAAGCAGAGAATGTATAGTGTCTTAAAAAAGATGGGGATCACAAGATTGTTTATAAAGATGGCAAGTTCATTTTTGCATTTGCATTAATTTTTGGTAGAGATGATTTTCAAATCTTACCAGCTGGTTTGCCATGACCACTAATTCTTCAATCCATTGCATCAGTACATTCCTGTTGCATATCATCCTATCAACGGGACATTGTGATATAGAGTAAGTCATTTGAAATATGGGCCTTGAGTTTTTAAGAGATCCTGAATATGGGAGTCTTTATACATGTGATGGTGGAAGCCACGATCACTGATTGGATTGATTTTGTAGAATGAGAGAAGAGAGGATTAATTATTGGAGATCAGCAATTTAAGAGTGGGCTAAAGAAGAGGGGCACCCGAAAACGGTTAAAGGGTAGAGGAATTGGTAATAGAACAAGGGGAAATATGTCACAAAGACAGAGTTTCCAAAAGGAGTATATATGTTCAACACCAAAGCTACAAAAGGTTAACCAGCAGTTTCAGAAGAACAATAAGAGCAGGAAAAAAAAAATAACTTTTTAAGGAAGAATAAATGGAAGAAGAAATATTTTTGATTACTGTTTCTAGAAGCTTATTAATAAAAAGAGAAAGGTAGTTATCTAGGGGAGGACAGAGTATCAAAGTAGAGTTGCCGAAATAGGTAATAACTGACTATATTCTGAAGACTTTGTCATTCAAACCTTTGTTAGAAAGGATTAGCATTAACTAAGGGATACTCTCATAAAAACTTGATTCTCATTCTGTGATGTAGAACAACTGGACATTTGTCACAATCAATTTAGAGAAATTTGTGTGTAGACCAGTGAAGTTACCTTGAAATTAAAGGGACTGCTAACTAAGCAACTTTTCCCTCCTTGCTAAATATGCTGTGTTCCTGTATTTGGAAGATTTTATGTCAGTTCCTTATTGAATTTTTATTCTTATACTGTTACTCTCTCATAGTACTTATGTGTGTTATGTGTGTGTGACATTCACTTAAATTGCTATATATTGAATGATTGATACAAGCAAAATATAAAATGTCTATGATAATACTTAAAGAGAAATCATATGAATCAGAAAACAGAAACAACTTTGTGAACTTGTTCCTGTGCAGTATGGCCCCTTTGAATATCCAAGTATCATGCAGGCTGTAACTATCTAATTATTGTGTTCTGATTAAGAGCTGCTGTTTAAGCACAGTGGGTTGTCAGTACTCAGAAAATTAAAAACAACAGGTTTGCAGTATTAAACACTAAGAGAACTATAGTTGAGTCTTCAAGCCAGTAAGTACTAAGTTACACTTATTCTCTTGCCTCTAAGTTTCCAGTAATGTCTTTCTGTACTGGCTAGAGCCCCTCCACGTAATCAGAGCCCCTAATCCAATGCGTATATGCTGACAGGTTGTTTAATGTTTCCTTTAACAAAAACACACAGAGCTCAGTAGGGAGGAGAGAATGAAACAGTTAGGCATTTTCAGTTTTGTGCCTGAAGTGTGAAAAACTCTGTTTCCCCCTGAGGACCGTAAATGATGATAACTTCCAAAGTCCGAGAGTAAATGCCCCCTCTCTGGTGTAGGAAAACACTTTTCCTTAGTAGTGCATTAATTGTTTTATACTTTTCAATGCATGCGCTCCTGCCTTGGGTCGAAGTTGCTTAAGGACACCAAGCCTTAATTCTTTAACAAAGCACAAACCAAGTTACAATGGTATCAACTTTTCTCTTTGCTAAATATAAAAGGAAATAAGATAATTATACAAAGAGATATTATTGTTAATCCTCTAGAGGATTTTTTTTTCTTTCTGCAAAAATTGAAAACAAAATGTGTTCTGTAAAGATGCTAGTTATTTTTCACATTCAAGTCAACCACTAATATTAAAAACAGAATTTATGGTAGCATATACTTTTATATAGGATAGGAATTTTTGAAGACTCAGTGACTATCTTAATCCATTTGGGCTGCTATAACAAAAATACCATAAACATTAATTTTTCATAGTTACGAAGGTTGGGAAGTCCAAGATCATGGTGCTGGCAGGTTGGAGTCTGGTGAGGGCCCCTTTTCTGGTTCATAGACAGCTGCTGTCTTCTAACTGTGTCCTCAACGTTGGCAGAAAGAGTGAGAGAGTTCTCTGGGATCTCTTTTGTAAGGGCACTAATCCCATTCATGAGGGCTCCACCCTCATGACCTAATCACCTCCTGAAGACCTCCTCCTCCTAATACCAATTTATTGAGGACTAGGATTTTAATGTGAATTTTAGGGGGACACAGACTCTGAGTTCATAACAATGATTGATTAAAGAATCTAAATATTCATTTTAATTTTTAATTTCAACATAATAGATGAGTCCAATAATTATTAAAATTTTAAGTGAATCCCTTGAGAAAATAAGAATACTTTTGTAAAGCAAATAAGTATTATCTACTTTTTGTATGTTTAAAACATTGATTTACAGGGGCACCTGGGTGGCTCAGTCGGTTAAGCGTCCAACTTCAGCTCAGGTCACGATCTCATGATCTGTGAGTTCGAGCCCCGCGTCGGGCTCTGTGCTGACGGCTCAGAGCCTGGAGCCTGCTTCCGATTCTGTGTCTCCCTCTCTCTCTGCCCCTCCCCGTTCATGCTCTGTCTCTCTCTGTCTCAAAAATAAATAAAAACGTTAAAAAAATTAAAAAAAAAAATAAAACATTGATTTACATATTCAATAATTAATCTGCTATAAAGCCATTCACTTTTACAAAAAACCCTGTCAGTCATCTTCCATAAAAATCATTTAGCCAAAAAAGTGACTGTTAAATTAATAATCTAACACAGAATGACAGAATTCTCCTTTGGAAGTTGTGATTGATTCCTGAAGAATAAATGAAAAAGTCACCTCAGTTATCTATATTTCCCTTTCTGTTAAAATATTTTGGTAGTTTATATTACTCATCACAATTCATTATCAATTTAAAGAGGGAATGACACCTCAGTAAATTGTTTATGATAGACTATTAGAGAGGATGCTTGTCCACCTTTCTGAGCTCTTCCAAGATATTTGTTGTATGAATACTAGGTAATCAATCAGAAATAAATTGAAACACACCAGTGAAAAAAATTTTTAAAAGATGGCCACG